TGAATTCCCAGCACCCCCAACAATCAAGACTTGAATCCACAAATGCGCACACCACACACATAATACATCAACTATAACATGTATAGAAACTTCGAGAAATCAGGAAATTTTATTGAAGTAGTTCAGATGGCTCATGATTTTTTTTTAGGGAACCCTGAATACTCAGACTTTTCTACAGGGAGAATCCTTACGCATCAGCATGCCTTAAAACCAATCTAGGGCTCTGCTGGTCGGTGATATATGTTAGAAATAGACTGCAAATACCACTTTTTTATTTATACTTTTATATCCTAGTTTAGGTTGTGAATGTTGTAGTGGGTTGGGGTGTACTCACAAATCCCAACCTCACCCAATGGTGATCCCCACAATCTCCAATTACCCAATTGGAGATTCCGGAGATCCCAATGGGGATTCCCTCCAATTCCCCCTTCATCCATTCTCTCTCACCTTGCCATGTACTTATAGAGCCTTGGGCTCCTTACCTAATCAATCATTTCAACTCTATTTCTTACATGGTATCAGAGCGACCTATCCGCACACGCGGATCAAGGTCCTAATCTCAACGTGCCCGCGCTACGCGCACTTCATCGTCGCGACATTCGTTTCGAGTCGTCGGAATTTCGACGTGCTCCACTCTGCAGTCGCGCCTCTCATCGTCGACCGCCTTCGCGCTCGACCTCGTTGAATTTCTCATCTCTGAAGCGTTCACGCTTCTCGTCGTCGATTTCCTCCTCGGTTCTCCTTGGTCGAATCTCAATTTCGACCATCTCTTAAAACTCGTTCTCGAGTTTCCTCTCAGACCCCGCCAGAATAGGCAAACTCCCCTTGCGAAATCGCCTCCACAAACGTCTCGCGTCAAGCAAGAGCAGGTACACAGGTTGAAGCGGAGCGGAGCTGGTTGCGGAGCTGGTTGCGGAGCTGGTTGCGGAGCTGGTTGCAGAGCTGGTTGCGGAGCTGTGTAGCTGCGGGACAGGGCCTGGGGGTGTGTGGGGGGGTGTGTGGGTCCGGGGTTAGACAAAGGCTCAGATTCAGTTTCAAGTCGGCGTTTTAACGAATTTTCGCCGACGCCATTTCCTACTTAGCGGCATTTTGATAAAGCCGTCAGAGTGATTTTCAGCAATTCTCATCGACCAATTTCCAGAAGTGCCGCGCTGCACACCGACAATGGCTTACTCAACCACTTCACTCGCCAACCCGATCCCGCTCCTTCGTCTCTAGCCGGACGGCACATGCTTCAACTACAAGGCTTGGCGCTATGGTGTCGACAAGCACCTCCTCAGTCGTGAGGTGAAGGGGCTCGAGCTCACCGACGTCCTTCTCAACATCGGTGACGGCAAAGAGCCTCCTAAACCCGAGAGGTCCGCCGATCCAGCTAATGCCGCCGCCGAAGCAGTTTATGCTGCTGCACTGCTCAAGTACAAGAATTGGGAGAAGGCCGATGGTGCGGTCATTAGTGTCTTCATGGGCACCACTCCTCCCGAACTCGTCGAAACCTACCACAACTACCCGTCTGCCAACGCCATTTGGCTCTACCTCGAAGATCGCTTCCTGAACAAGACTGCAGTGGGAGTTGCTATACTCATCCCCAGCATGTTCCAAGTGCGGCTCCAGGACTCGCCAGGCATGGCGGACTATGTCACCAAGGTGCAGTCCATTCATGGTGAACTCAAACAGTTGGGGATAGTCTTCCCCGAGCAAGCCCCTGCAGCCGCTCTCCTAGTCGGCCTCACTCCGGCATACGAAGTCACACGCAAGATGCTCTTGGGCCTTGCTCCTGCAGACCTCACATTTGCCAAGGTCTCATCCGCGCTCCTTTCTGCCGAAAAGGACAACAGCGCTCAAGCCAAGGCCAATGCAATCCGCGCTCCCGTGCCTCAAGCCTATGCCGTTTCGGCGCCATTCCAGCGCAACCGCTTCCCCCCGTATCCCTATGTCATCAAGCGCGGCCCTCGTGCCGGCCAGGTGTGTGGCGGCACCAACCACGCCCTTGCCTCCTGCTTCAAGAAAAATGTTATAAATGTTCTAGTGGGTTGGGGTGTACTCACAAATCCCAACCTCACCCAATTATGATCCCCCCAATTTCCAATTACCCAATTGGAGATTCCGGAGATCCCAAAAGGGATTCCCTCCAATTCCCCCTTCATCCTTTCACTCTCACATTGCCATGTACTTATAGAGCCTTGGGCTCCTTAGCTAATCAATTATTTCAACTCTATTTCTTACATGGTATCAGAGCGACCTATCCGCACACGCGGATCAAGGTCCTAATCTGATCGTGCCCGCGCTACGAGCACTTTATCGTCGCGACATTCGTTGTGAGTCGTCGGAATTTCGACGTGCTCCACTCTGCAGTCGCGCCTCTCATCGTCGACCGCCTTCGCGCTCGACCTCGTTGAATTTCTCATCTCTGAAGCGTTCACGCTTCTCGTCGTCGATTTCCTCCTCGGTTCTCCTTGGTCGAATCTCAATTTCGACCATCTCTTAAAACCCGTTCTCGAGTTTCCGCTCAGACCCCGCCAGAATAGGCGAACTCCCCTCGCCAAATCGCCTCCACGAACGTCTCGCGTTTAGCAAGAGCATGTACACAGGTTGAAGCCGAGCGGAGCTGGTTGCGGAGCTGGTTGCGGAGCTGGTTGCGGAGCTGGTTGCGGAGCTGGTTGCGGAGCTGTGTAGTTGCGGGACAGGGCCTGGGGGTGTGTTGGGGGGTGTGTGGGTCCGGGGTTAGACATAGGCTCAGATTCGGTTTCAAGTCGGCGTTTTAACGAATTTTCGCCGACGCCATTTCCTACTTAGCGGCATTTTGATACAGCCGTCAGAGTGATTTTCAGCAATTCTCGTCAACCAATTTCCAGAAGTGCCGCGCTGCACACCGACAATGGCTTACTCAACTACTTCACTCGCCAACCCGATCCCGCTCCTTTGTCTCGAGCCGGACGGTACATGCTCCAACTACAAGGCTTGGCGCTATGGTGTCGACAAGCACCTCCTCAGTCGCGAGGTGAAGGGGCTCGAGCTCACCGACGTCCTTGTCAACATCGGTGACGGCAAAGAGCCTCCTAAACCCGAGAGGTCCGCCGATCCAGCTAATGCCGCCGCCGAAGCAGTTTATGCTGCTGCACTGCTCAAGTACAAGAATTGGGAGAAGGCCGATGGTGCGGTCATTAGTGTCTTCATGGGCACCACTCCTCCCGAACTCGTCGAAACCTACCACAACTACCCGTCTGCCAACGCCATTTGGCTCTACCTCGAGGACCGCTTCCTGAACAAGACTGCAGTGGGAGTTGCTATACTCATCCCCAGCATGTTCCAAGTGTTAGAAATAGACTGCAAATACCACTTTTGTATTTGTACTTTTATTTCTTAGTTTAGGTTGTGAATGTTCTAGTGGGTTGGGATGTTCTCACAAATCCCAACCTCACCCAATTATGATCCCCACAATCTCCAATTACCCAATTGGAGATTCCGGAGATCCCAATGGGGATTCCCTCCAATTCCTCCTTCATCCATTCTCTCACACCTTGCCATGTACTTATAGAGCCTTGGGCTCCTTACCTAATCAATCATTTCAACTCTATTTCTTACATGGTATCAGAGCGACCTATCTGCACACGCGGATCAAGGTCCTAATCTCAACGTGCCCGCGCTACGCGCACTTCATCGTCGCGACATTCGTTTCGAGTCGTCGGAATTTCGACGTCCTCCACTCTGCAGTCGCGCCTCTCATTGTCGACCGCCTTCGCGCTCGACCTCGTTGAATTTCTCATCTCTGAAGCTTTCACGCTTCTCATCGTCGATTTTCTCCTCGGTTCTCCTTGGTCGAATCTCAATTTCGACCATCTCTTAAATCTCGTTCTCGAGTTTCCCCTCAGACCCCGCCAGAATAGGCGAACTCCCTCGCCAAATCGCCTCCACGAACGTCTCGCGTCAAGCAAGAGCAGGTACACAGGTTGAAGCTGTTAGAAACAGAAAGGTTGAGTTTATTGATGAAGGAAAGGCATTACATAGGAAGAGAGAGATGAGCTAGGAAGGGAAGGTTGGAAGGGAAAGGGGGGTTAGGACCAATCACAAGGGAGGGAGGATCCTTCCAAATGTGGTTGACCACCAGTTGGAGGTGGTCCAAGTGAGGTGTACCACCAGTGGTTTAGCCAACCCACTTGTGGTGCCCCCACAATTGTGGTCCTTGTGTTTGGGGGCACCAACCACAATTGGGTTGGATTGACACCCCAACACAGGTGTACACCCAACTAGGGATGTAAACACAATATACACAACTAGCATAGCATGGTATATTCTAACACAACCCCATAGCATGCAAAGCTAGTGTATATGTAGGGTACAACCCCAGAATCAGGAAGGGGGGCGGGGCCCAAGGCCGAGAAGGCGGAGGAGGGCAGAGTGCGCGGTCTTCGGGAGGGCCTTGGTGAAGATGTCGGCCAAGTTGGCCTCTGCAGCGATCTTGCGGACCACCAAGTGACCTTGCTGGACCAACTCTCGAACGAAGAAGTAGCGGAGTTCAATGTGCTTGGAGCGGCCATGGAAGACAGGGTCCTTTGTGAGATGGATGGTGCTGGCGTTGTCGCACCAGAGGGTGGGACAGCGCTGAGGAGCACCGATCTCAGCAAGGAGGAAGGTGAGCCAGCGAGCCTCCTGAGCGGCCATGGTGCAAGCATAGAGCTCAGCCTCGCAGGATGAGAGGGCGATGGAGGAGGAGCGAGTGGAGCGCCAGCTGATGAGGCCGCTGCCAAGGGTGAAGCCGTAGCCTTGAGAGGAACGGCGATCCGGCTGGGAGTCAGCCCAGGAGGAGTCACTGAAGCCAGAGAGGAGGGGAGGAGAAGAGCCTCCGAGGGTGAGGACATAGTCCTTGGTACCACGGAGGTAGCGGAGGACCCGCTTCGCTGCAGCCCAGTGCTCATCAGTGTGGCGACCGGTACCGACGAATCGAGCAAGAACACTGATGGGGTAGGCAAGGTCGGGGCGGGTGCACATCATAGCGTACATCAGCGAGCCGACGAGCTCAGCGTAAGGATGGTCAGAGGAGGAGGGAGCAGGAGGAGGGGCAAGCTGGTGGTCGGTCTGCAGGGGAGTGGTAACCGGCTTCGCCTGCGCCATGTCGAACCGCTGCAAGACTTGGTCGATGTAGAAGGACTGAGAGAGGGTAATGGTGCGCGATGTGCGGTCCCGGGTAATGGTCATGCCCAGATAGTGCTTGAGCTCACCCAGGTCCTTGCACTTGAGGCGTGCATGCAGGGCGTCCTTCACTTGCTGCATGGCGGCAGCATCGTCAGCGAACAGGATCATGTCGTCGACATACACCAGGATGAAGAAGCGGGTGGGAGAGGAGCGAAGGAAAAGGCTGGCATCAGACTGAGAGGCATGGAACCCCAAGGACTGCAGAGTGGCGGCCAGTTTGTTGTGCCACTCGCGAGGAGCCTGCTTGAGGCCATAAACCGGGCGGCGCAGCTCCCAGACTGTGTTGGCAGGGAAGGCTGCATGAAAGCCTGGAGGCCGCCGCAAGAGGACCCGCTCCTGGAGCTCGCCTTGCAGGAAGGCGTTGGAGACATCCATGGAGGCAATCTCCATGCCAATGCGAACAGCATAGTCGAGGATGGCACGGAGAGTTGGGAGATTGGCAGTGGGAGAGAATATCTCCCAGTAGTCGATGCCATGGGTCTGGGTGAAGCCCTTGGCACAATACCGGGCCTTGTAGACCGGCTCCTCACCCGGCAGCTGCTTCACTCGGAACACCCAGAGGCCTTCAACAATGACGTCGTCAGGAGAGGGGACAATGTTAACGAATGAGGCATTGCGGATGAAGGCCTCACATTCAGCAAAGATAGCCTGGATCCACTTGGCAGCATCGGGGCAGGTGATGGCCTCAAGGAAGTTGGACGGAGTGAATCTGGTGGGAGCGGTAGCGATGCCAAGGATGAGGAGGCCAAGGAAGCCCGGGTAGAGAGGCGTGAGGGAAGGTGTTTGTTGCTGAACGCCAATGAGCTCCTCATGGGAGTCCTCAATGAAGGGAAAGGAGGGTGGGGGTGGTGTTGGCCAACCCCATGGATGGCCTATGAGTGGGCCGTGAGAGCGAGTGTGGATGCGTGGGAGGATGAACGGAGAGGTGGTGCGGCGATGCCGATGAGGTTGCTGCAGTGGCTGCTGCTGCTGCTGCTGTGGCTGCTGCTGGTGCTGCTGCTGCACCTCCTGCTGCGGCTGATGTTGCTGCACTGCCTGCGGTTGCTGCTGCTGCTGCTGCTGCTGCTCCATCCGCTGCTGCACCTCCTGCTGCTGCTGCTGCTGCTGCTGCTGCTGCTGCTGCTGCTCCATCCGCTGCTGCTGCTGCACCTGCTGCTGATGCTGTTGCTGCTGCTGCTGCTGCTCCTTCTGCTGCTGCTGCTGCTGCTGCTGCTGGTGCGATGAGGCAGAGTGAGCAGGGGAGTCAGGGACAGCTGGGTCGTAAATGTCACCTGAGGAAGGAGGAGGGGGAGGAGCAGGATTTGGAGGAAGGAGGGGAGCCTGGGGAAGGAGTGGGGGAATGACAGCATCAGCCCAGGTGAGGGGGCGGGAGAGAGGAGGAAGGGGGTCGGAAGGCGGAACAGAATGATAGAACGGGATGCTCTCATCGAACACCACGTCACGGCTCTGTAGGAGGCGGCCTGAGGACGGGTGAAGGAAGAGGTAACCAGGGGCAGAGCGAGCGTGGCCAAGGTAGACACACTCAATGGCCTTGGAGGCGAGCTTTCCTGCCTGCCGAGAGCGGTCAGGTGGGGGGATGAGGACATATGCCTTGCAACCCCAGATACGGAGAATGGCAGCATCTGGCTTGGTGCTAGCCCAGAGCTCAGTGGGAGTGACAGACTGGCGTTGAGGATGTGGGTAAAGATTAGTAAGGAGAGCAGCATGGACAAGGGCATAGCCCCAAAGAGAAGGGGGCGTGGAGGCATGAGTGAGGAGGCAGCGGGCCGTCTTGGTGATCTCACGAATGCGACTCTCAGCAACACCGTTCTGCTGAGGGGAGTGGGGAAGGGTATGAGTCTGCTGGATGCCATGGGTTGAGCAGTAGGAGGAGAGGGTGCGGTTGAGAAACTCACCACCGCCGTCGGAATGGAGGCGGCGGATGGGGCGACCAAAGTGGACTCGGCACTGCTCGGCCCACGTAACGATGACAGCAGGGGCCTCGGCCTTCGTGTGGAGGAGGAACACCGAGGAGTACCTGCTGTGGTCGTCGACTAGGACAAGCAGGTACCGGTGCCCTTGGCGGGAAGGGGAAGGGTTAGGGCCCCAGAGGTCCATGTGGACGAGGTCAAGGGGGGCAGCAGCAAAGGAAGGATGACTGAGGTGAGGCTGTTGTTTGAGCTTTCCATGAATGCATGTGGCGCATGGGGGAGCGGAAGAGGACGGGAGGGGAGGAAGAGTGGGGGGAAGACCATCAAGCAAGCGGGAGGAGACGGCTTTACGAAGTGTGGGAAAGTTCATATGACCAAGGCGGTGGTGGATGAGAACAGCGGGGTGGGACAGTGCGCGACAAGAGCATGGGGAGGAGGTGGAGTTGGAGGAAGGTGGCTCTAGAGGGAGGGGAGGGGGGAGAGTGGAGGTGCCTGCACGAGTGGTCACGTGGCATGAGGAGGGGCGGGGTGTGCGGAGGATGTACTGACGAGAGCGAGGGCAAAGTGGGAGGCGATGAAGGAGGCGGCGAGTGGGGCCGTGGAGGAGGTCACAGTAGGTGGCAGAGGCGGGGAAGAGGGTAGTGATGCCAACCTGTTGGAGTTCACGAATGGAGAGCAGGTTATGACGAAGGGAGGGAATGTGGAGACCAGTGACCACTCCGGAGGGGAAGGGGGGGCAGGGGAGGGTGGAGAGATGAGTGCAAGGGATGGAGAAGCTGGAATCAGCACCATGAACGTTGGTGGGGAAAGGGAGGGAGGTGAGGGTGCCGGCGTCTTTGAGGGCAGTTTCAGTGGCACCACTATCGAGAACAAAGTCAATCGTGAGCGAGGAGGGAGCTGAAGACACGGGGTACTGGAAATCACTGGCATTAAAAACAGAGGGATACATGGAAGTGGAAGCAGGGGAAGAACGCATGAGCTCGCCTAGAAAGCTGGAGTGGGAGGCGGGAGCACTAGGGGAAGGAGAGCCCCAGAGGGGAAAGCCAGGAGGACCTGGTGTGGCTGTGGCAGCCATGGCGGCGGTGCCAAAGCCAAGCTGCTGCTGCTGCCATGCAGATGCTGCGGCTGCGGCTCCTGCAGCTGCGGCTGCAGCCTGACCACCAGAGCCCCACTGCTGCTGCTGCTGCAGCAGCTGCAGCTGCTGGAAGCGGCGAAACTGCTGCAGCTCCTGGGGAGCCGACCGCTCGTGTTCCTCCAACGCGATCAGGTAATCAGTATGGAGCACGAGGAACTCACGACGCTGAGTAAGGAAGAGCTGCTCAACTTCAGCGGTGGCAGCGCGAGTGCTGGTGCCAACGGGTACCATGGGGGGCGGAGGTTCCTCGCCGGGATGGGGAATGAGAGGGGGGGGATCGCCAGGGTGAGGCGGCGGGTCCCCAAGGTCACCCTCTGGGAGACCAAGCATGATGTCCAGGAGGCGGAACGGCAGGACATAAGCACTGCCGAGGACGCGGTGGAGGCTGCCGACGAATGAATACCAGTTGGTTGCTGAGTTGTCGGCAGCGCGCACGAGATGATCGAGGGTCGAGACGTCGACGGGAGGGGGAAAGGATGCCATTGGTGACACGGAGTGGGAGGAAGGCGACGGCGGGTGGACCCGCGGTGGCCGGGAGGGAGCGGCGGCGGGTGGACCCGCGGCGGCTCAAAGAGGAGGGGAGGATGGGGATGGCTGTAGATACTGCTGCTGCTGCTGCTGCTGCTGCTGCTGCTGCTGCTGCTGCTGCTGCTGCTCCTTCTGCTGCCACCCTCGACCCCGCCACCACCGCCGCCGGCTCCGCTGCCCCCACAACCGCCACCTCCACCCCCTCCCTGAGGGTTGGTGCGGCCGCCACGTGGGCGCCCGCCACGACGCGGCTGTGTGACTGCAAGCTGGGGGTTTTGGGACTCGGTGGAGTTCAGGCCGGAGGGGGGGGTTGAGAGAAGGCGGGCCTCAGCGTCAATGATCCATTGGACCACAGTGTCAAGGGAGGCGCGGGGCTGAGCCTCAGTGAAGGCGATGACGCGCACTTCATATTGAGGGGAGAGGCCTTCGAGGAGACGGTAGATCTGAAGGTTGGGGGGGAGAGTAGTCTGGCGAGCCTCAAGGCGGGAGGCAAGGTCCAGGAGACGGCTGGTGTAGTCAACGGCGCCAGCACTGTGTTCGATCGTGATGCTGAAGTATTCCTTGAAGAGCGGTCCGACAGCATCGAAGTCGGTGCGTTCGAACATTGCCTCAAGCTCGAGCCAGATCTGGCGGGAGCCGATGCGACGTGCCTGGAAGTTGCGCATGAGCGCAGACGGGATGGCAAGGAGAAGGGCACCAGTAGCACGGCTGTCCGCCTCGAGCCAGGCGCGACGACGCTCAGCAAATCGCGCAGAGTCAGCGGCATAAGCGGCGGCGGTAGCGGCATGCTGGGTGCGGAGGGTTGCCGACCGCTCGTGTTCCTCCAACGCGATCAGGTAATCAGTATGGAGCACGAGGAACTCACGACGCTGAGTAAGGAAGAGCTGCTCAACTTCAGCGGTGGCAGCGCGAGTGCTGGTGCCAACGGGTACCATGGGGGGCGGAGGTTCCTCGCCGGGATGGGGAATGAGAGGGGGGGGATCGCCAGGGTGAGGCGGCGGGTCCCCAAGGTCACCCTCTGGGAGACCAAGCATGATGTCCAGGAGGCGGAACGGCAGGACATAAGCACTGCCGAGGACGCGGTGGAGGCTGCCGACGAAGGAATACCAGTTGGTTGCTGAGTTGTTGGCAGCGCGCACGAGATGATCGAGGGTCGAGACGTCGACGGGAGGGGGAAAGGATGCCATTGGTGACACGGAGTGGGAGGAAGGCGACGGCGGGTGGACCCGCGGTGGCCGGGAGGGAGCGGCGGCGGGTGGACCCGCGGCGGCTCAAAGAGGAGGGGAGGATGGGGATGGCTGTAGATACTGCTGCTGCTGCTGCTGCTGCTGCTGCTGCTGCTGTTGCTGTTGCTGCTGCTGCCGCTGCTGCTGCTGCCACTGCTGCTGCTGCCGCTGTTGCTGCTGCTGCTGCTGCTGCTGCTGCTGCTGCTGCTGCTGCTGCTGCTGCTGAGTCTGCTGCTCCTTCTGGTGCTGTTGCTGCTTCTGCTGCTGCTGCTACGGCTGCAGCAGTGGTAAGGCGGCGATGAGCAGGTGCAGGTGAGGAGGCAAAAGATGGGGAAAGATGGCAGTTAGCTGATGAAAATAGGACTTGGTAGAAATTTCAGTAGCACTTCGTGATCACATCCAGGAAAGTGTGCAAACTTCGGAAAGTGATATCTGACAATCCAAGCGATAAAACAGTCTGAAATTTTACGACGTTGTAGCTGACACCAAGAGCGTTCTTTTGCAAGTCAAATCACTCAATTCTGTCAACTATCGAGCGAGCTATGGCGTTTGGCGCATTGGGGGTTTTTGAAAATCCACCCAACAGAAAACTAGTTGAGAGGCGGCGGCTAGGAGTCTAGCAGCGGCGATGGAGGGGACGGCAATGAGGTGCACATCGGAAGGGGACGGGGCGGAAGCGTAGGGAAGGATCGGGATTTAAAAGTTGGCGTGAGCCATTATTGCTCTATACCATGCTAGAAACAGAAAGGTTGAGTTTATTGATGAAGGAAAGGCATTACATAGGAAGAGAGAGATGAGCTAGGAAGGGAAGGTTGGAAGGGAAGGGGGGGTTAGGACCAATCACAAGGGAGGGAGGATCCTTCCAATTATGGTTGACCACCAGTTGAAGGTGGTCCAAGTGTGGTGTACCACCAGTGGTTTAGCCAACCCACTTGTGGTGCCCCCACAATTGTGGTCCTTGTGTTCAGGGGCTCCAACCACAATTGGGTTGGAATGACACCCCAACACAGGTGTACACCCAACTAGGGATGTAAACACAATATACACAACTAGCATAGCATGGTATATTCTAACAGAAGCGGAGCGGAGCTGGTTGCGGAGCTGGTTGCGGAGCTGGTTGCGGAGCTGTGTAGTTGCGGGACAGGGCCTGGGGGTGTGTTGGGGGGTGTGTGGGTCCGGGGTTAGAGATAGGCTCAGATTCAGTTTCAAGTCGGCGTTTTAACGATTTTTCGCCGACGCCATTTCCTACTTAGCGGCATTTTGATACAGCCGTCCGAGTGATTTTCAGCAATTCTCGTCGACCAATTTCCAGAAGTGCCGCGCTGCACACCGACAATGGCTTATTCAACCACTTCACTCGCCAACCCGATCCCGCTCCTTCGTCTCGAGCCGGACGGTACATGCTCCAACTACAAGGCTTGGCGCTATGGTGTCGACAAGCACCTCCTCAGTCGCGAGGTGAAGGGGCTCGAGCTCACCGACGTCCTTCTCAACATCGGTCACAGCAAAGAGCCTCCTAAACCCGAAAGGTCCGCCGATCCAGCTAATGCTACCGCCGAAACAGTTTATGCTGCTGCACTGCTCAAGTACAAGAATTGGGAGAAGGCCGATGGTGCGGTCATTAGTGTCTTCATGGGCACCACTCCTCCCGAACTCGTCGAAACCTACCACAACTACCCGTCTGCCAACGCCATTTGGCTCTACCTCGAAGATCGCTTCCTGAACAAGACTCCAGTGGGAGTTGCTATACTCATCCCCAGCATGTTCCAAGTGCGGCTCCAGGACTCGCCAGGCATGGCGGACTATGTCACCAAGGTGCAGTCCATTCATGATGAACTCAAACAGTTGGGGATAGTCTTCCCCGAGCAAGCCCCTGCAGCCGCTCTCCTAGTCGGCCTCACTCCGGCATACGAAGTCACACGCAAGATGCTCTTGGGCCTTGCTCCTGCAGACCTCACATTTGCCAAGGTCTCATCTGCGCTCCTTTCTGCCGAAAAGGACAACAGCGCTCAAGCCAAGGCCAATGCAATCCGCGCTCCCGTGCCTCAAGCCTATGCCGCTTCGGTGCCATTCCAGCGCAACCGCTTCCCCCCGTGTCCCTACGTCATCAAGCGCGGCCCTCGTGCCGGCCAGGTGTGTGGCGGCACCAACCACGCCCTTGCCTCCTGCTTTAAGAAGAAGGATGACGAGTGGTATGGTGTCAATGGGACCGCCTCGAATCCGCCAAGCTGGATGATCAATCGTGCTCCTCGCCAAGTCAATCAAGTCGAAGCGCAGGAATCCGTGCAGGCTGCTGTGGCTGCACCTGCTGATGTGCGCCTCAACATGTTGTTCCCTGGCACTGCCATGATTAATGAGACGATTTCGCAGTATCCTGGCTCACAAAGCACCTCAGCCACAATAGAGTTCACCCTCGACAGTGGGGCCACTCACACGGTTCTCAAGGAAGAACACTCCTTCAAGCCATACGAGACACCAATCCGTCTACTAGGAGCAGACTCCAGTTTCACAACACACGCCAAGGGCTCCTCCACAGTTCCGTGCCCAGCTTTTCCTTCGGGCAGTGTGACTGGCATGTGTGTTCCCACACTACGCCACAATCTCGTGGCCCAACATGAGCTCCAACGGGCAGGCGTCACCACGATCTTCCCAGCACACTCGGATTACTGTGACCTCTTCGACCCTAAGTCCAACAAGCTCCTAGCACGCTTCACACTCAACAGTAGCAAGCTCTACACGCTGCGTTCACCTGCACCTCTCGCCGCCCTCTCCCAAGCGCAAGCTGCCAGCACCACTCCGTATTCGTGTCGCAGCTTCGCCAACCCAACCATCCTCTACCACCATCCGTACACTTGCCGACATCGCTTCCAAGAAACTTCTTCTTGGCCTCCCGTCGGCGCTTCCTCCACCAACAGACTCACCTGCACCCACCTGCCTGGACTGCACCAAGAGCAAGCTCAGGCAGCAGCCGCACCCTTCCTCCCCATCCGTCGCAGCTGCTCCGCTGGACCTAGTGCACATGGATGTCTGGGGCCCAGCTCCAGTCGCATCCCGAGGCGGTCATCGGTACTTTCTTACACTAGTCGATGACCACTCGCGGCATGTTTCTGTGCACCTCCTGCATACCAAGGCGGAGGCACCTGATGTCATCATGGCGTGGGTGCGCCAGGCTCAAGTTACGTTCGGCACTCCTTTGAAGTGCCTCCATTCTGATGGCGGGGGAGAATTTCGCAATGGCAAACTCGATAACTTCTGTGCGGCCCAAGGGATGGCAAACCTTCACGCTCCCCGAAAGCCCGTAGCAGAACGGCATTGCAGAGAGCCGCAACCACACCTTGGTTCAGATCGCTCGCTGCCTCCTCAGTCACGCCAACGCACCACGGTCACTCTGGGGATATGCCCTCTTCCATGCGGCACTCCTCTACAATCTTTATCCGCATCCCCACCGGCCCGACACCACACCTACCGCTCTCTGGCTTGGGGTCACGCCTTCCGCCCGCTCTCTACGCGTCCGGGGGTGTACCGCGTATGTGTTGCTAAGCCCCCACACGCGCAGGAAGCAAGGTGGCAAGCTTGGTCCCAAAACCCAGACCTGCATGTACCTGGGGCACAACTCCGACTCCCCAGACTACTTATTCCTCAACCCAATCACCAGACAGCTGATTCGCAGCCGTGATGTCGTCTTCGATGAGACACGCCCATTCCACTCTGCGACCACGGGCGAGCCTCCTCCACCTCCCCCGACGCTTGTTTGGGCAGACTTCGATGCCCCACCTCCGGCCGCTGCCCCTTCTCCGGGGCCTTCTCCGTCCGGCGTGTCTCACCCAGCCTCCCCAGTATCCTCCGCAGCGGCACCTCCTCCTGCTCCGCCTTCCCCGCGCGTCGAGCCCGGCTCACCAGTCTCCTATCGGAGGCGCCCAGTCCCTCCGGTCCCACCGCAGCCGCCTTCGTCTCCGGTCTCTAGTCGCACTCGTTCCAAGGGACCGGCTCCGCCTCTCGCCTGGGGACCAGCCGCCTTCTCCATCCGGTGTTCGGTCACCCCGCCTCCTCCTGCCGGGGGTGATGTCCCCTCCATCCGTATTCCCCCCCGTGCACTTCTGGAGGACAGGCATGAGGAGCTGTTTGACCTTCACGCGGTCTGCCAATTTCTCTCTCACATCTTCCCGGACATTACTGACTGCCCTTCCCTCAACTTCACCGAGAACCCGACCATTCCGACTCCTCGCACAAAAGAGGAAGCTCTCCCGGGGCCTTATAAGAAGGAGTGGAAGGCAGCAATGGATGTGGAGAACGAGGCGTTCATTCGCAACAACAGCTTTGACGATGTTATTCCCCCTTCCGGTGTCAACATCGTCGGCGGAAAATGGATGTTCTGAGTCAAACAACTCCCAGGCGAAGCTCCACTGTTCAAGGCACGATACGTGGCGAAGGGTTTCACCCAGAAGGAGTATCTCGACTTCTTCGAAACATTCTCGCCCACGGCCAAGCTCCCGACTGTGCGCGCTCTTCTTGATATAGCCGCTCGCGGCAACTTCGAGATCAAGTCCATGGACGCCTCCTCCGCCTTTCTCCAAGGCCAGCTCAAGGAGGATGTTCACATGGAACGCCCACCGGGGTTTCCTGGCACTTACCCTGCCAACACAGTGTGGAAGCTGAAGCGCCCAGTGTATGGCCTCAAGCAGGCTCCTCGTGAGTGGCACAACAAGGTGAAGGAAATCCTCCTCGCACTTGACTTCCATCCCTCTGCCTCAGATTCCAGTCTCTTCGTTCGTCACTCCTCCGAGCCCTTCGACATCCTCGTCTACGTCGACGACTTCATTCTAGCCGCCAGAGATCCAGCCGACATGGCAGCTGTCCAGTCTGCTCTCAGCTCCGCCCTTCTCATGAAGGATCTTGGTGACCTCAAGAACTACCTGGGAATGGAGATCACTCGTGACCGCCAGGCTTGCACGATCACCCTCTCCCAGGAGTCCTACATCGACAACCTTCTCAAGCGGTTCGACATGGACTCCAGTAACTCTGTCTCCACTCCACTCCCACTACAGCATCAGCTCACGGCCCCTCCAGTTCCTTCTCCTGACGCCTGCAAGGACCCGTACCCTGAGCTAGTCGGTTCACTCATGTATGCCATGATGTGCACTCGACCAGACTTGGCTTACCCGGTTAGTGTCCTCTCTCGGTACGTCTCCCCCGGACGCTACACTGCCTCGCATTGGTCTGCAGCCAAGAGGGTCATCCGCTATCTACAAGCCACCAAGTCTCACATCCTCACTCTTGGTGGTACCTCTCCAGTCAAGCTCGAGGGATACACAGACTCCTCATGGGCCGATGACCAGACTGACAGACGCTCCTCCCAAGGGTACTGCTTCACCCTTGGTAGCGGAGTCATCAGCTGGCGCTCCACTCGGTCCTCTGCAGTCTCCCTGTCGTCCTGCGAGGCCGAGCTCTACGCGGGCACAATGGCTGCTCAAGAGGCACGCTGACTCTCCTTTCTCCTCGCTGAGTTAGGCTACCCCCAGCAGTCGCCCACCCTGTGGTGTGACAACCAGAGTGCCATTCATCTCACCAAGGATCCTGTGTTCCACTCTCGCACCAAGCACATCGAACTTCGTCATTTCTTCATCCGAGATCTTGTTCAGAGTGACCAGCT